TGCATTAACAGTTGTGCAAATGTAAATAGTGTAGTGAGAAATGCACCAAAGCCACTGAGAAAAACTGTAAATTTGTACAACTTCTCTAAAGGGATAAACATTTAGTCATCTTCTTTTGAATTCTAGTGAGCAAGTTTGGTCTTTGGATAAGATAAACAAGTCAAAGGCACTCAGAAAGTGAAAAAATTAAAGCCCTTATTAGCATGACTAGAGCTGGATGATATTGAAAAAAATCTGGCATTGCAATATTTTGTTTTGCTGCAATATATATATTGCAATAGGAATATAATTTCCTTTTTTGATTTATAGCTCTAATTGGAAATACCTCCAATAATTTAGATCGACTGGGGTGATCAAGTCTTTTTCTATAGTGCATCTAGAAAGTATAGATAGCGCTTCACTTGGTCCACATTTGTTTATGTAAGCCTTAAGGCACACCGGGACGCATTTTGCTCGCGTTTGTTTGTTAAGTGGTGACGTGTTTGTGACGTTTGTAATACTGTTTCCGGGTGTATATATATATATATATATATGTATATATATGTTTGTATGTATGTATATATATATATATATATATACATACATATATATATATATACATATACACATACACATACACACACCACATGAAGTTGTGCTGTGGGGACGCCAAGTTTTGCTGGGTGTTTCAAAGTTTTTCCTGCTTACAAATAATAGTTAAAGAAATCCAGCAGTTATGACTTAAAACAGGTTATGAATGCTCTGCAGCAACAGCATATCAGATATAAACACGGTCAAGGATGAACAAACTCCTTATGGTCTTTACTCAAGGTTAATTAAAAGGACAGAATTCGGAGGCAAAGCCAGACGGTCCTTTAATGCACAAAAAAAAGGCAACATTTCCGTCTGCGAATAAACACAAAGCTGTTTGCTGCCTCCAGTTGCACATAAAGTCCAGCTTATTAAACTAATGCTCCGATGCCTTCACAGCAACAGGTCTGTAATCATGAAGACAGCCTGGATTAGAGGACTTTAGAGCAGAGGTTACCACGGCTAATTTGAAGCATTGTGAGTTGTTGAGCTGGTTATAAATAGCCGGAGCTGCAGAGGTGTGTGTGTGTGTGTGTGTGTGTGTGTGTGTGTGTGTGGTTTACATGCTGGACTGAGATTCAAGCTGCAGATGTTTTGGTTCATTTACAGAAGCACCAATAAACTGTTCTGTTGTGAGAATATTATGTGTTTTTGTTGTGTTTTGTGTATGCACTGTGTATGCATAACGCACTAGGCATTACAGTCGTGTTGACTCTGTTCACGAAGGCGTGCTGAATCTTTGTTCTCCATTGAATTTGTACAGTATTAATTTTTATATTTACCCTTTGCTGACAGGCCTTGAAAGGCGCTTTCAAGCCACGCTGGAAAGATTGTATGGTGGCATTCATTTGCTCGTAAATAAAGCGTCAGAACTGCGTGTGGGGAAATCTGTGGTGTTGTTCAGTTTTCTGTATATTGACATGCAGCAGAATTATTCAGAAACAAACCATCTGAATCGAAAGTTCTCTTTCGTCCGGAAGATGCGAGATGTAAATAAGCGTCTAAAACGGATGCACATTTCTAGCTTACTCGTTTTATAGGCTATAGGAAATGCCGGGTGTGTGTTTTAAACCTTGAGTAAAACAAAAAGACTGATCTAAAGTTGGTTTTGTATACTTATACATTTAGACTTTCACCCATCTTAATATTCATTCATTCATTCATTTTCTTGTCGGCTTAGTCCCTTTATTAACCCGGGGTCACCACAGCGGAATGAACCGACAACTTATCCAGCAAGTTTACACAGCGGATGCCCTTCCAGCCGCAACCCATCTCTGGGAAACCATCTTAATATAATTTCAGAAAAGTTCATTGCAAATTCGAATTATTAGCAGCCAATGACTTTTAATTACGTTGTTCACAGTCACTTCAGGGTGATTCTTCAACTACAGGCACTTATGTCCTTTAATTATATGTCCAAAAATATATATGATTTTGTTCAAATTCCTCTTTCTTTGTCAAACTTACAATAAAACCTACTTTAAAAATATTTACCACCTTTCCATTATATTTTTTTCATATTATTCAGCCTTTTTTTAGGTGTCAAAAATCAGTTTTCACCTTGTCGCACACCCAGAGTTTTAAACTTCAACAATGAAAATAAAGGGGGGAAGCAGTGACGCAGTAGGTAGTGCTGTCGCCTCACAGCAAGAAGGTCGCTGGGTCGAGCCTCGGCTCAGTTGGCGTTTCTGTGTGGAGTTTGCATGTTCTCCCTGAGATCATGTGGGTTTCCTCCGGGTGCTCCGATTTTCCCCCACAGTCCAAAGACATGCGGTACAGGTGAATTGGGTAGGCTAAATTGTCCGTAGTGTATGAATGAGTGTGGATGTTTCCCTGAGATGGGTTGCGGCTGGAAGGGCATCCGCTGTGCAAAAACTTGCTGGATAAGTTAATAATAATAATAATAATAATAATTCCTTACATTTATATAGCGCTTTTCTGGGCACTCAAAGCGCTTTACACACAATGGGGGGAATCTCCTCATCCACCACCAGTGTGCAGCATCCACCTGGATAACGTGACGGCAGCCATTTTGCGCCAGACCGCACACCACACACCAGCTGATTGGTGGAGAGGAGACAGCGATGAAGCCAATTGGAATATGGGGATGGTTAGGAGGCCATGATGGACAAAGGCCAGTGGGCAGATTTGGCCTGGATGGTTCATTCCGCCAAGTTGGCGGTTCATTCCGCTGTGGCAACCCCTGATAAGTAAGGGACTATGCCAAAGGAAAATGAATGAGTGAACAATGAAAATAACATTTTAAAATATTATTTACCTGGTAACTATTTATGTATCTTAATTAAGCTCTAGTGAAATAACCTAAATATTTTATATTTTTATTAGTTTAATTATACTATTTTATAGTTTTGGTAATTTTAGGCTAGTATCAACATTATTTTTTATACAAAATATAGCTGCCGCACGATATCAGTGTCTTTCCACCACGACACTGTGATGTGGCTTTAAAAATTATTGTGTGAAAGATTTAGGTGGTTTCAATGAAACTGAAGTGACATCCGGGAACATGTTAAAGATGGAGGGAATTTACATTTATGTCAACAACATTCATTCATTCATTCATTTTCTTGCAGGGTTAGTCCCTTTATTAATCCGGGGTCACCACAGCGGAATGAACCACCAACTTATCCAGCACATTTTTACGCAGCGGATGCCCTTCTAGCCGCAACCCTTCTCTGGGAAACATCAACGCACACGTTCACACACACACACACACTCATAAACTACAGACAATTTAGCTTACCCAATTCACCTGTACCACATGTCTTTGGACTCTGGGGGAAACCGGAGCATCCGGAGGAAACCCGCGCGAACGAAGGGAGAGCATGCAAACTCCAAACAGAAATGCCAACTGAGCCGAGGCTAGACCCAGTGACCTTCTTGCTGTGAGGCGACAGCACTGCCTACTGCGCCACTGCTTCGCCCTAGACCTAAACACCACGTGATAATTACAGGCAGGTGTGTTGGATATGGGTTGCAACTGAAATCTGCAGGAAGGTGGCTCTCCACGAACAGGGTTGGCCACCCCTGGTATACACTTTAAACGTGGCATGGTTGTTGGTGCCCAACAGGCTGACCATGTCCATCCCTTTATGACGACAGTGTCTCCATCTTCTGATCTTCTGAATCTTGGTGTGACTCTTGAGTCAGATCTGAGTTTCAACAGTCATGTCAAAGCAGTCAGTAAATCAGCATACTATCATCTCAAAAACATAGCAAGAATCAGATGCTTTGTTTCTAGTGAAGATTTAGAAAAACTTGTTCATGCTTTTATCAGCAGCAGGGTGGATTACTGTAATGGACTCCTCACTGGTCTTCCTAAAAAGACAGTCAGACAGTTGCAGCTCATCCAGAACGCTGCAGCCAGAATTCTGACCAGAACCAGGAAATCAGAGCACATCACACCTGCCCTCAGGTCTTTACACTGGCTGCCAGTTACATTCAGAATAGATTTTAAAGTATTATTACTGGTCTATAAATCACTAAACGGCCTAGGACCTAAATACATTACAGATATGCTCACTGAATACAAACCCAACAGATCACTCAGATCATTAGGATCATATAAACTAGATGTTCCAAGAGTTCAGTCAAAGCAGGGTGAATCGGCTTTCAGCCACTATGCCCCTCGCTGCTGGAATCAGCTTCCAGAAATGATCAGATGTGCTCCAACATTAGGCACATTCAAATCAAGACTGAAAACACATCTGTTTAGCTGTGCCTTTACTGAATGAGCACTGTGCTGCGTCCGACAGATTGCACTATCATGTTTTTCTCTTCTTCTTCATTCTTTTATATCACATTTTACCTGTTTTTATGTTTTGTTTTGTTTTTACGCATTTTTATTATTTGTTTTTATTTTTATTTTACTTGTTTCTTTTATTCTTGTTTATGTAAAGCACTTTGAATTGCCATTGTGTATGAAATGTGCTATATAAATAAACTTGCCTTGCCTTGCCTTGCCTTGATGGCTACTTCAAATATGAAAACACGCCATGTCATAAAGCGTGAATCATCTCAGACTGATTTCTTGAACATGACAATGAGTTCACTGTACTCAAATGGCCTCCACAGTCACTGGATATCAATCCAATAGAGCACCTTTAGGATGTGGTGGAACGGGAGATTCTCATCATGGATGTGCAGCCGACAAATCTGCAGCAACTGCGTGATGCTCTCATGTGGAGCAAATATGGCAAATATGGAGCAAAGTCTCTGAGGAATATTTCCAGCACCTTGTTTAGTCGATGCCACGAAGGAGTAAGGCAGATCCAGCCAAGATCCAACCTGATACTACTAAGGTGTACCCATTAAAGTGGCCGGTGAGTGTATATTCATCACTTTATCCATATAGAAGCTCTGAAAAATTGAACATTTAGTCACCCCGCCTAAAATAAAACTCTATCAGGTCATTTTTAAAGAGGCAAAACCTTTAATAAAATAAATAGAAACACTTGCAAACACAAAAAACACATATGAGACTGCCGTAAATGATGGTAAACAAACCCTACTGTCATAGAGTGAATTAAAACAAACACTACAAGGTAAAAAATTGTACATCACCAATGTCGGTGCTCAACATACAAAAATACTATATGAAAATTAAAAGGCGCATGTATATTACAATCAAAAAGCAATGTTAGCCCGATCATTTACAATTATATTATTAAATACTATAAATCCTGCCGCCTGTTAAACTGCATCCTTACATCTAAGCTCCAACTGTTATATTAAATGATCCGACAGCAGCGAGTCCCCATAATTCATCATTCACATGCAAGGGTTACCATCGTGTCTTTAAACCATTCTTCAAACTACCTCACAGATGTTATTCTCCATGGTAAACGGATACAAAAATCACGCTACACGCACTTTCCACAGCCACACTCCACTGTCTTTTCGACCTCCTGTGTGAAAGTTGTGCCGTCGTCGCACTCGAAACCGTAGCGTCTGCGGCGTACTCTCAAACCGACACAACACAATCCCGAATCCGCTCTGCATCCGCCTCGACACTCCGTCCAGGACATCGGCAGTGTGCTGCGGCATTGAACATCGCCTCGCTGAACACGATGAAAATCCCGCACAGGCTCGCCTTGACACGGAGACACTGCAGACAGAAAAATAGGGTGAGCATATTTTAGTTTGCAAAACAAGCAAGCCAGGCTCATCCTGGAAACAAAGCCCCGCGGACATTTCTGGAGACTGCGGAATACGTCCTGGGAGGTACTTATTTGTGCAGATTTTGTTTTCGCTAATCCGCTAATTTCAAGTCTCGAACGCCTCTCGCGAGCGCACGCCATTTGCGCCTGCACTATTCTCGCGTAAAAAGTCGCCGGAGGCCGCTGTCAAGCGACCGTCTGTCCGACTAACTGACTTACTGAGTGACTAAACGACTGCCACCCTCATCCTTCCCTAAACCCAAGCGACTATTTACAAAAGCCGTCCAGAAAAAAAAAAGCCCTCGTCTGATTTTGACCGCGTTTTCGGATTTCACCGCATTCTCGCCCCGTTACGAACTCGTTCGCTTTTATTTTTTGGATTCTGTTTTTTGTCTTACCTGATTTCTGGAACCGCTCTTCCCCGGACTCGAACCCGGCTCCTCCTTTAATGGACACAGACTGCACAGAGGTGTTTTGTATTTAAGTGTGGTTTATTCATAAACTAATTTCGAGAGGATCACGTGCTTATAATCAACACGGCTGGCTCCTTGTTAGCTCCGTAATCAGCCCTATTAGATGATTACGGAAGCATTATAAATAACCTGAGTTTTTCACTCCAGTTATCTTCGTCTTGAAGCTCCCCCCTTTCCACCCCTACATCCTCCCACTTTTTCTGATCGGGCAACACGGTGGCCCAGTGGCTAGCACTGTTGCCTCACAGCAAGAACACCGCCAGTCCAACCCATCGGGCCGGTTGGTGTTTCTGTGTGGAGTTTGCATGTTCTCCCAGTGTTAGCGCGGGTTTTCCCCGGGTTCCCCGGTTTCCTCCCACCGTCCAAAAACATAAACCATAGCCAATCGACTAAACCAAATTATCACCCAATACAACCTGAGTTTACACTTCTCACGGTGACAAGCAGGAGAGTTCTCGAGACCTACCTGACCTCGAATTCCCCTCTCGCCCTTCTAACGGGAGGGAGCCCCTGGCTCGAGGATATTACGAGCTCAGGGCTCTCTCCCGGAACAGCATGCCAAATACGCTTTATTGATTATCAGCTAAGTGTGAACTCTTGAAAAGTCAGTTGGTGGGTTTTGTAAAAAGTGGATCGGCTGGAATTGTGTGATGAAAAAGCCTATCCATAGCTAACTGATCACGATCGATATAGAAAAAGCTGAACTTCAAAAACATTATTGTCCATTCGACTAAAGACAAGGCGTAGGTAAATAATCAGGAAAAATGTTTTATCGAGAGATTTAACATAATGATTATAATGTTGTTACCGTCCGTGAACAGAATGCTGAAATGTTACTCGCTTATAATAACTTCATTACGGCTTTTTTGTGTGTGTAATGTTAGAACTGATTGTTGTTGAAATCGAAGGTTTGTTTGAATATTCACAATCTACATGTCTTATTTAGCAAGAAGAAATAAAACAATACTCGCGCCTCCTCGGTCGTTGATGAATGAGACGAGGCTTGTTGAACTTCAGAATGAGCTTGGGTTGAAAACAAGAGGATGACATAAATGATTACATGATTTTAGCCCTGATTTTAGCTTACCGACAGTCAAAAGGTGGGAAGAGTATCCTTAATCTATACTCAAGTAAAAGTGCTTGAGGACCTCTTTACTCAAGTAAAAGTCTTAAAATCTTAAAAGTTACTTGAGTAACAGTAAAAAGGTATTCGTTTATTTTCCTTAAACTTAGTTGCTGATTTAGTTTATTTAGATCAGTTATTATAAACTTTGTTCATGAATGTGTGTTTTAGGGCTATAGGGTTTACAAGATGTTTGTTTGCTTGAGGCGCCTGAGCCCGAAACTGAAGACGAGACGTGACTGTTAAGGGTCTGTTTGATAAGGATTAATGAATCATTCTTACTGTTTAATGAACGCAAACTGTTGTACTTTATTAATGACACAAACCCCTCACTGCACGACAGCTGCGCCTTCAGCAAACCTCCTAATTCCTGCAGCACGAGGACTTTATGATTGTTTATGAGCGTCAAAAGTGGTGAAATATTTGACTGGGATATTTATATTTGTTTTAATAAACGTAAGTTTAGATTTGTCCACCTGTGGGGTTTTGGAGACGTCTGCATCACCATATGGGGCATAAGAACATGCGTGTGTTTGGATGTAACTTTTTTGTTTGACCACACTTCGTTTTTATTGTTTATTTATTCCTTTGCTGGAGATTAGAACTGAATTTAGAAATAGTTTTAAAACAAATCTTTGTGCTTAACAAACGAAATTAAATATGTAGGAGTGAGTTTCCACAATTTCCTTATCCACCAAAGTAAAGGAGTAAAGAGTAAAGAGAAAGTAAAGATGCTGTATGGAGGAGGCTCGTTCTTTATCCTCGCGCTGCAGATGCTCCGTTTAACTGTTTTCTCTCTAGTGAAGCGTTCAGTTTTTACACTTACAAAGACCAACATGTAAATAGCAGATGCGCCATGGTGCGACACAACTGACTCCTAAAAGCAATGAGAGATGAGACTCTGATTGGTTTATTCTCAAAACACACCCAGAAGAGAAGAGAATAAGCACAACCCTGTTGGACCATGTACTGGGGAGCGGAGCCTATTTATTCATTCATTCATTATTTTTTCAGCTTAGTCCCTTTATTAATTTGCGGTCACCACAGCGGAATGAACCGCCAACTTATCCAGCACATGTTATCCAGCACACGCCAACTGACCCAGCCGAGGCTCAAACCACCGACCTTCTTGCTGTGAGGCGACTGCACTACCTGCTGTGCCACTGCGTCGCCAGAGCTTATGTACGCCCTTACGCCCCTTAATGATTTTTTGCCGTGAGCATTAGACTTTGTGCGTAGATCATTAAAACAGAGCCCTTAGTATGATGCTGTGTTCACACCAGACGCAGAACGCGGATAAATCGCGCTATTCGCGCGTAAATAGCTGCGTGAACATTTGAGTTTACCCGCTTCATTCGCGCGTCAAATCCGCTTCATTCGCATGTCAAATTCACTTCAGAACAGACGCGGATTCGCGTGATGGGCAGGGCTTCTGTCTGCCCGGTGACTCTAGCCTCATAGCTAAATGGCTAACATGGATTTTATGAAGAAAATAACAGTGTTAATGTGCTTTATGGAGACTGAAAAACAGCGTCGATACGTTCAGGGTCCTGTCTGAGTCCACTACACGCTTTCAGAGGTGCATCGTAACTTCATAAACTCCTCCAGAAACTGAACCTGGATGACGGAGACTTTCAGCGGTGCTTCTGACTGAGCTGAGCCCAGTTTGATGACTTGTTGTCGGTGTCGCCTGGAGGATTTCCCCCGGCACACTATCAACAGGGTCTACGTCACAATCATGCCCCCACAAGAGCAAGCTTCTGATTGGTTAACGCAGAGCGAATGTCCGCTGAAGTTCAGATTTTCGAACTCGAGAGATTTGCGCGAAGCGGTCGTTAAGCGCGTCAAACTCGCAAAACGGTCAATTCGCCCCGCGCCATTCGCGCATATCGCGCTATTTGCACTATTTGTTATATGAATCATATTTATTACTATTTCACATTTTTTGGTGGAGCAACTTTTTCCCACTACTTTTTTTGAGGTGTGTGATGTGGATGGCTGTGGTTTACCGATGTCACAGAGCTGTCCGCTGTATCCGCTGTCACACACACACTGCGGCTGTCCCGTCGGAGAGATCTGGCACAGGCCGTGTTGGCATGAGAGAGCTGTACAGGGATCCTGCTGACTGCAGAGCTGCCCGTGAAAACCCTCCACACACTCACAGCGATACGACTGCAGGTCCACTGCTACACACACGCCATGAACACACCTGACAGGAGGCAATGAAGAGCATTAGGGGGCGTTTGCATTGTGACTTAAATAGTCATTACCACATAGGCATTTAAATGTTAATGTTAAAATAGTATTATTATATTAATCTTATTATATTAATGTTAATATAATATTCAAAATGATTAGCATGTTTATAATTTAATTTTTATGCATAATAAAAAACCTAAAATAAAATATGAATTATCAGATATATATATATATATATGAGTTCTTTAACACCTCATTTATTATTTTTTAATTCAGTTTTATGAATATTCATATTAATAAAATATTTTTTTAATGTTCTACTATTTAGCACCTAATTTTATACTCATTTTATATTATATTCATATTAGTAATATATATTTTGTTCTATTCTTTTAGCGCCTAATTTATTTTATTTAGTTTAGTTATATATTTATATTCATATTAATAATTACATTTCCCCATCTCCTACTGTTTTAAAAATTTATTCGACTTAATATCAGTTTTATATTCATATTCATAATATATATTTTTTTCTATGTCCTATTGTTTTAGCACCTTTTTAATTAAAATTTATATTCATTTTCTATTAATATTCATACTAATAATATAATTTTTCCAAGCCCTAATTTCTAGTTTTAGCTCCTAATTTATTCAATTTATTTTAGTTTTATATTTATATTCATATTAATAATAATAATTGTTTCTATTTCCTATTGTTTTCAATAGTATCTGGATGCAGCCTTTATGATGCAAGCTGAAATTGTATCACTTAGCGATGCAATGTCAGATACAATGCACTAAATGGAGTGAGTGATGTCACTGTGATGGGTGGGGTTAGGTGAGCGCATTAAAAAGCATTGGATGCAGCTCAGATTGCACTGCACCAGGTCTGCATCCAGACCCCTCCCATTGTTTTAGCACTTAATTCAGTCATTTATATGTGTTTTATAATAATTCTCATATAGTACTATAATATTTTCCATGTCCTATTCTTTGAGCATCTCATTTATATATAAAAAAATAGTTTTATGTTAATATTATACTTCCCATGTCCTTTTGTTTTAGCAACTTTTTTTTTTCTTTCTACATTAGTACATCTAAAATATCTATATTTATATTATATTGTGCCTTCAATGAAATGATTATGTCACATTATTCCCTTGTCTAATCTGAAATGGGTGTCGTGAACAGACAGGCACTCACTTGTGTTTCTGGCAGGGGTTTGTGGCAGCGGCAGCAGTGAGCAGGATCTGGTCACAGTGTTTTCCGCCCCATCCTGGCTGACAGTGGCACACTGGGCCGATGGCGGAGTCCGGCTGGCACAGTCCGTTCACACAGAGCAGCTCCTGGCAGGCCTGACAGCCGGGCACCACACCGGGCTTCATCTGAGTCTGTGTGAAATCCTGCAGCTCATTGTTGATGTACAGGTTTCGGATGCAGCCTTGAAAACTGGATCCGTTCACTGGGGGCCAGTGGTTAGATGACAGCGACTTGGCATTTTCGGGCATACCTGATAAAGATGAACAGACATTTAGAAAAAACACTGCATTTACACACTGTTTAATTCAGCTCAGGGGTGGCATGAATGCATTTACACACTGTTTAATGCAGCTCAGAGGTGGGATGAATGCATTTACACACTGTTTACAACAGCTCAGAGGTGGCATGAATGCATTTACACACTGTTTAATGCAGCTCAGAGGTGGGATGAATGCATTTACACACTGTTTACAACAGCTCAGAGGTGGCATTAATGCATTTACACACTGTTTAATGCGGCTCAGAGGTGGCATGAATGCATTTACACACTGTTTAATGCGGCTCAGAGGTGGCATGAATGCATTTACACACTGTTTAATGCGGCTCAGAGGTGGCATGAATGCATTTACACACTGTTTTATGCTGCTCAGGGGTGGCATTAATGCATTTACACACTGTTTAATGCGGCTCAGAGGTGGCATGAATGCATTTACACACTGTTTAATACGGCTCAGAGGTGGCATGAATGCATTTACACACTGTTTAATGCGGCTCAGAGGTGGCATGAATGCATTTACACACTGTTTTATGCTGCTCAGGGGTGGCATTAATGCATTTACACACTGTTTAATGCGGCTCAGAGGTGGCATGAATGCATTTACACACTGTTTAATGCGGCTCAGAGGTGGCATGAATGCATTTACACACTGTTTTATGCTGCTCAGGGGTGGCATTAATGCATTTACACACTGTTTAATGCGGCTCAGAGCTGGCATGAATACATTTACACACTGTTTAATGCGGATCAGGGGTGGCATGAATGCAGTTACGCTGTTTAATGCGGCTCAGAGGTGGCATGAATGCATTTACACACTGTTTTATGCTGCTCAGGGGTGGCATTAATGCATTTACACACTGTTTAATGCGGCTCAGAGGTGGCATGAATGCATTCACAGACTGTTTAATACGGCTCAGAAGTGGCATGAATGCATTTACACACTGTTTAATGCGGATCAGGGGTGGCATGAATGCATTTACACACTGTTTAATGCGGCTCAGAGGTGGCATGAATGCATTTACACACTGTTTAATGCGGCTCAGAGATGGCATGAATGCATTTACAGACTGTTTAATGCGGCTCAGAGGTGGCATGAATGCATTCACAGACTGTTTAATACGGCTCAGAGGTGGCATGAATGCATTTACACTGTTTTATGCTGCTCAGGGGTGGCATTAATGCATTTACACACTGTTTAATGCGGCTCAGAGGTGGCATGAATGCATTCACAGACTGTTTAATACGGCTCAGAGGTGGCATGAATGCATTTACACACTGTTTAATGCGGCTCAGAGGTGGCATGAATGCATTTACACACTGTTTAATGCGGCTCAGAGGTGGCATGAATGCATTCACAGACTGTTTAATACGGCTCAGAGGTGGCATGAATGCATTTACACTGTTTTATGCTGCTCAGGGGTGGCATTAATGCATTTACACACTGTTTAATACGGCTCAGAGGTGGCATGAATGCATTTACAGACTGTTTAATGCGGCTCAGAGGTGGCATGAATGCATTTACACACTGTTTAATGCGGCTCAGAGGTGGCATGAATGCATTTACACACTGTTTAATGCGGATCATAGGTGGCCTGAATGCATTTACACACTGTTTAGCGCTGCTCAAGGTGGCATGAATGCATTTACACACTGATTAATGCAGCTTAGAGGTGGCATAAATGTAATATTATACATTTTATATCATCAGTATAGACATTTGGTCCAACAACCCTTCAAGTATCCAAGCATATACAAAAAAGCCCATGTATGCTGCTTTAGTATGGCGATAACGTAACAGACAGTAAAACAGAGTGAAAGAGTCAAAAGACCTCGTCAATTTGTTTTATTTGTGATCATCTTCTTACCGCCTACATATAGCGGGGCGTCTCTGGTGAGCGGCTGGATGTGTCCTGAACTGTCCAGAGTTGTGGGAAGTCCTCCATCGATGGAAAGATTGACCATCCGTTCATAAGTAACCAATTCAACAGTGTGAAACTGTCCATCGTTCACTATTTCAGAGCTGTGGAAACAGGCGAATGAGTCCACACTTTACGCCATACATTAAATAGTCTCTGCAGGATTTCGGAGGATTTCATATTTAAAGATCTTATACAAATGTTGGATCTCTACAATGCATGTAAATTACCTTGATGTCAAGACGACATCAAAAAGACATCTAACATTGGCATCAAAAATCAATTGATTTTGACGTCAATGTTAGATGTATATTTGATGTCTTTTTGACATCAAGGTTGTTTACATGCATTGTAGGGATATTAAATTTGAAATTGAAGCTTCCAGATGAATAATACGTCTATTAAATTATTTTTTTGTCATTATTTTGGTGGTCAAAAAGGCATCAATTTATGGACGTCAAATAGACGTCAAGGTTTTTGACATCAAATTGATTTGCATTTTGACGTGTTTTTGATGTTGTTTTGAAATTAATCTGCTACAGTGTTTTTGCAAAAACCCAAACGTTGCATGAATTTTGTTGAAAAATCATAGATGTCAAAATGACAAAAAAATTTACATCTAACATTGGCATCAAAAACCACGTCAAAAATCGATTGTCATCAGAGCAGAGTAAAGTCATTTGACCAATCAGAGCAGAGTAATCGATTTTTGATGTGCTTTTGACGTGGTTTTGCCATAGAAGTAGTTTAGATGCATTGTAGGAATACAAAACTTTAAATTAAAGCTTTCAGATGAATAAAACATAAATTATTAAACTTTTGTGTCGATGTTTTGATGGTCAAAAAGGCATTAATGTGCGGATATCATATAGACGTCAAGGTTTCAACATCAAATCCATTCGCATTTTGACGTGTTTTTTGACGAGTATAGATAGTGTTTGATAGTGTCCTCAGGATACAGGTTTCAGAATATGTATGGCTGAGTTTTTATTATACAATATTTATTCTGATGATTTTGAATCTTGCACTCAACAAATATCCCCATTTAGAAAAAAACTAAAACTAATACTGAAACTAATAAAAACTAGTAAATCTGCCTCTAAAAACTAGTTAAAACAAACTGAATTTGAAAACAAAAAGTCAAAACTAAATAGAAACTAAAACTTATGAAAACTATTATAACCTCGGTTGGTCCAAAACTATTATAACCTTGGTTGTTTTCACATCGAGGTAGTTTACATGCATTGTAGGGACCCGACATTTGCAATTAAAGCTTTCAGATCAGTAAAACGTATAGTATAAAATGTTTTGTGTCGTTGTTTTAGTGGTCAAAATGGCATTAATGTGTTGATATCAACAGATGTAAATTTTTGACTTGTTTTTTTGAAGTCGTTTTCACATCAAGATACTTCACTTGCATGAATTTCCAAGCATTTTAAATGCCTCTGAAATTTGCAGTCTTTGTATTAAATTTTGATCACAACATCCTAGAGCAGCCAAGTCTAAACTCATTCCTGGAGGGCCGGTGTCCTGCAAATTTTAGTTCCAACCCCAATCAGACACACCTTGGCTAGCTAATCAAGCTCTTAAGCTGCGGTCACACTTGACTTTACTCCCCATAGACTTCCATTTATACGCACACGAATGCGTCAGACCGGAAATGCGGGGTCATGCGTCAAATCGCATCACTTGACTGCGTGAGACCAATCAAGGATCAAAACATAACAGAAATTTAAAACATAGAGCCATCGTTTGCTTTTTTAAATGCCTAATAAGCTTGCTAAATACCCTTTTCACAGCTCCACACGACAGAATATTGCATGCTCAAACTCTAATGCTGCGTTTACACAAGACGCGGAACTCGCATCAAGCGCGAGTGATTTACATGTTAAGTCAATGCAAACGCGCGAATAGACATCCTGCGGCGCGATATGCGAGAATGGCGCGGCGCGAATGACACTAATTGCGCGGAGCGAATTGAGCGTTTTTCGCGTTTGACGCGCTTAACAAGCGTTTCGCGCAAATGTCTCAATTTCGAAAATCTGAACTTCAGCGTACATTCGCGCCGCGTTAACCAATCAGAAGCTTGCTCTTGTGGGGGCGTGATTGTGATGTAGACTCTGTTGTCGGTGTTCAGTTCATCAAACTGGGCTTGGCTCAGTCAGAAGCACCGCTGAAAGCCTCCGTCATCCAGGTTAAGTTTCTGGAGGAGTTTATGAGCTGGATGCACCTCTGAAAGAATGTAGTGGACTCAGACACGACCCTAAACGTATCGACGCTGTTTTTCTGTCTTCATCAAGCACATAAACACTGTTATTTTCTTCATAAAATCCATGTTAGCCATTTAGCTATGAAGCTAGAGTCTTCGGGCAGACAGAAGCCCTGCTCATCACGCGAATCCGCGTTTGTTCTGATGTGAATTTGACACGCAAATGAAGCAGGGTTTGATGCGCGTATGAAGCGAGTAAACTCAAATGTTCACGCGGCTATTTACGTGCGAATAGCGCGATTTATCCACGCGTTCCGCGTCTGGTGTGAACACAGCATTACGCCCTATTCATACGGGGCTTCAGCGGCAACGCTTGTCTGAAGGCGTGTCTGAAGTTGGGGCTAACGCAATCGTCATATCAGCGTCAGCCAATGAAATTTAGTCAGCAATAGGCCACTGTCTATCTGGTGTATTTGCATTCAGCGATCTGATTGGCTGACGCATCCGCCGGCACTTAAAAGGTTGAGCTAGTCCCAACTTCTGCAGTGAGCAACGCCTCTGAAGCGGCGCCGACGGATCCACAATGCAGTTCGGCAACACCTGACATCACCCATTCAAAGTGAATAGGAAGCTTGACGCTGACGCCCTGTGTGAATGCAGACATCCCAAGTTGGGAAAATTAATTTCCGGGGGATACAGAGTCGATTTGCAGGAGGAAGCAGGATAGTGGGTATTTGAAGAGGTGGGGGGGGGGGGGGGTTGTGTTGAGTGAGCGACGTATCTGGGTAGGGGGGCGTGTGCGCGCGAGACGTACCCGAAGAGCAGAAAGAGCGGTAGGTCATAATGTTACCTCAAGAGCGTTGGGGGTGAGTTGCGCACGACGTACCTGAAGAGCTACGAGGGATGCGGTGGAGAGAGGGGGAGCTTTGCAACGTATTTAAGGACCGGGCAGAAAGCGCACGATTTCCGGGAGATTATCATTCATTTGCGGGCATCCGGAAGTGTCTATGCATTTGAGGGATACTCCCGCAACTTCCGGGAGACTTGGGATGTCTGTAAATGGGACGTAATGTGACCGTAGCTTTACTAGGCTTTCTAGAATCATCTTTGCAGGTGTGTTGAGGCACATTCGAGCTAAAATCTGCAGGACACTGGCCCTCCAGGACCGAGTTTGGACACCCCTGTCCTAAAGGAACTTCTTAAAAGGCAATGAGGATGTTTATTAGACCTGTAAATGGTGCTTCCGGGTTGCCGTCCAGCGTCGTAGGTCACTTTAACATGGCCGTCATGCAGCTCCACAGCGATGTGCTCATTAACACCATTGTAGAGAAGAATCCCGTTGTCTTCGGCTGTGGAGACCTGACAGAAAAGTTGTATGAGCTGCTGCTGCTGCTTTTTGTACTTTATTTTTCTTCACAGAATCTGAAGTAGAATCTAACAACAGTACAGTCGATCGGGACAATTACTCTTACATATGCTGTTAAAATGACTTTCGCATGTATTAGTTTTGGCAGCTGTGCTGGGGTCACTGGAAGTGAATCTCAAGCAGATGTTTGGGCAAAATTATTTGATTATGCAGCTGCTTTTCCTTCGATGTTTTCATCAGACGGTGTCAGTCTTTGTCTCTGGCGTAGGATTATAAATTAAAGAGAGCTCGTAAAAACATGCATGAAGGCGTAATGCGAGTAACAGATCACATCTGTGCTGCCGTAGGGATTTTTAGACAGAGAGAGAGATAAATGTATAATATATACAGCATTGTATTTTAATATTACAACCCCAAATCAGAAAAGGTTGGGACAGTTTGTAAAACGCTAATAAAAGTAGTGATTTCTAAATTTACTTTCACTTGTGGTTCATTGCAGACAATACAACAAACATTATTTAATGTGTTCCTCATAAACACCTATTACAATTTTGCAACACATTTAAAAAGAGTGTGAACACTGAAGCATTTACCACTTTGTAATGTTGCCGTTCCTTTTCACAACACTCAAAAGACGTTTAGGGACTGAAGACAGCAAGTGATTTCAGGTGTCATTTTGCCCCTTTCTTCCTGCAAACAAGTCTTCAAGAGTTCACACTTCGCTGATGATTGCTTATAAAGCTTGTTTGGCATGCTGTCCCGAGCGAGAGGCCTGAGCTCATGAGATCCTCGTGCCCGTGGCTTCCTCACATTTCCTAAGAGTTTAAGCTCGGGTAGATCTGGAGAACTCCCCTGCTGTAGTAGCTAATGAACAGATGGTGATTGCTCTGAAGAGATATTCACTTAGTAGGAGCATGTCTATGGTGCTGATTTGGATTAGTCAATAACTTAAGTTGCATGTTTTTGGATGGTAGAAGGAAACTGGGAAACCCGGTGGGAACCCACATGAGCATGGGGAGAACGTGTAAACTCTGCACAGAAACGTCAGCTGGCTTGGTAAGGACTAGAACCAGTGACGTTCTTGCTGTGAGGCAACAGTGCTAACCACTGGGCCAGCGTGCCACCCATCTAGGAAAGGAGGAGGAGTAGGGGTGGAAGGGGGGATTCTTCTAAACGAAGATGGTTGTTATATGGAACTTAGGGTATTTATAGTGCTTTAGGAATCGTGAACTGAATAATGCGGGGCCGGCTGCAAGCAATCATAAGCACATGATCCTCTAGAACAATGATCACCAAACTTGTTCCGGGAGGGCCGGTGTCCTGCAGATTTTGGCTGTTTCTCAATATGCGTTCTTCAGCGGTCTTGCGTCCTCGTGTTCTCGTGAAACGTCATCATCAGCTGCCTAAGTTCAGTTCCAATACTCAAGACCGCAAGTACGGAGGACGCGTGAAACTTCCCGAATGTGTTCTTGATATCGAGGACGCACCGATGCAGACTTTAGCACCGAACTCACTCTGGAAGTCCCAGAAGTCATTGCGACTGGAGGTGGGAAGCGCTGCATTTTATCTAGATTTATTATTAAAGTTCATAGATATGAATTATTTACCTCAGGAGATTCCATAAATGAAACGGTGAAAGTAAACATTACCATGGACATCTTAATAAAGGAATAAACACATTAAGGGTGATTGTTTGCTGATATTCCTATTAAAATACGATTTTTTTTATATTGTGCAACATAGATTTATAATGTTTTTATGCAAAGTATATATTTTGAAAAGGGGAAAAACAATAAATCATTGTATGAAGGCTGTCATGTTTAAATAATTTACCATTTAAAACACGTGAAGGTCATGTGACCATCAGAAAGAACGCAGCATCTCAATTCTCAAAGGACGCGTTCTCTGCCCTCGCGTTCTCCTGAGTTCGTTCTTCCGTGGACACCTGGCAAGACCGCTCTCCACAAGAACAGAATTCCGTTCTCTGCGTTCTTGGAATTGAGAAACAGCCTTTAGCTCCAACCCTAATCAAACACACCTGAACAAGCTAATCAAAGTCTTACTAGGTATACTTGAATCATCCAGGCAGGTGTGTTGAGGTGTTCTCTTCCTCCTCTGCAGGACTTTGTAATGTGTGCAGACTGTGGTTTTGCATTGTCTTGTTGAAATATTCATGGGCGTCTCTGGAAAAGTAGGCAGCATATTGTGCCGCAAAATCTCTGTGTGCTTTTCAGCATTAATGGTGCATCATAGAAGAGCAGGTGAACTTTGCAAAGGGCTCTGAAACAACCCCATACCATGACAAAGGGGAAAATGTGTTTATACTTACCTTTATTTTTGTATATCTTCATGTTTGTATATTTTAGTTTACTTTAATTATGACTGTTTGGGTTCTAATGTACTTTTAACAGTAAACTTATGAACATGCACAGATGTTTATGCTTGCATTTAAAAAGTGTATATTGGTTTATGACAAAGGGGCGGGGCTTCGCCTTTAAAAGGCAGCCCCAAACCCCAATTAGAGGTCAGCTAACCTGGCGAGCAAGCGAGCTACTGTGGTGCTGTAAGCAATTTGTGACCTGTCTGTGTATATTATTAGTGTGTTTGTACATATATTGTTTGTTTGCTTTTTGACATAAATCTTTTAGGTTTTCTCACCATACTTTGAGAACCCACTACGAGCCTTCCTGGTTCATCAACCTCACACCCTGGCTTTTGGATTTGTTGCTGGTAACAGTCTGGATTATCCTTTTCTTCTTTGGTCCAGAGCACAAGCGTCCATTTCTCCCCAAAATCCATGAAATACTGATTTATCTGACCACAGTACATGTTTCCACTGTGTGATGGTGCATCCCAGATGCCTTCGAGCCCAGAGAAGTTGACGACGCTTGCTAACTTAGGGCTTCCGTTTGGCACAGTACAGTTTTCACTGGCATTTGTGGATGTAACTACAGATTGTGGTACTTGACAATGTTTTTTAAAAGTAGTCCCGAACCCATGTGGTGATATGGCTCATAGACGAATGAGGATTCTTGATGCAGTGCCGCCTGAGGGATCAGAGATCATGGTTGTTCAGCTTAGTCTTGCACCCTTGTCCTTTGGGCACTGAAATTCCTCCAGATTTTTTGAATCTTTTAATATTGTTCTGCACTGTTAAAGATGAAATAGCCAAATGTCTTACTCTCTTTCTTTGAGGAACAATGTTTTTAAACATTTCAATCATTTTCTCATGTATTTGTTGGCAAACTGGTGGTCCTCAGCCTACCTTTGCTCCTAAAGGACTAGACCTATATTAAATGCTGCTTTTGTATCAAATCATAAAGACAATCACCTGTTGACATCACCTGTTTCACATCATTATTTAACCAATTTACCTGATTACTATCCCTAAATTGCTCCTGTCACAACCTCTTTTTAATGTGTTGCATTTCTGAATGAAAGGAAAGGAAGTCAAAGTAAAATTAAAAATCACAACTTTTCTATTATTTCCATTTTCCATGTCCCAATAAATATATACAGTTAAAACCAGAAGTTAAAAAAAACTATTAAAATAACCATAACCATTTAAAAAAAAAAAGTCAGATGTTATTGTGACTAAACTTTTTTCTCTAGGTAAGTTAGGATTATCAAATTTGTTTCTGATATGCTTAAAAGCAGAATAATGAGAGAGATATTTTTGAGAAACTAACTTTTCTTGAAAGTCAAGTTTACACAGAATAAGATTATGCCTCTGAAAAAGCTCAGATGATGGTGTTAAGGTTTTGGAAGTTTCTGATTGGCTAATTGACAACATTTGAGTTAATTGGAGGCACAACTGTAGAGTAGTATTTAAGGAAAACCTCAAACACTCTGCTTCCTTGTGTGACAACATGGGAAAATCAACAAGCCATAATCAACAGAAAAGCCAGATCACAATTTGCTAAATTACACTGGGAAAAGACTAATGTTTGGAGACATGTCATTTGGTCTGATGGACCTAAGATTGAACTGTTTGGCCATAATGACCAGTGTTACATTTGGAGGACAAAGGGGAAAGCTTACAAGCCTAGGAAAACCATCGCAACTGTGAAGTATGGGGGCGGCAGCATCATGTTGTGGGGCTGTTTTGCTGCAGGAGGGACTGGTCCACTTCACAGCATAGATGACATCATGAAGAAAGAGCATTGTGTAGAAATACTGAAGCAACATCTCAAGACATCAGCCAGGAAATTAAAACTTGGCCACAAATGGGTCTTCCAAACACACCACGACCCTAAGCATACTGTCAAATTAGTTAAAATGTGCTGTAAGGACAACAGCGGGAATGTTTTGGAGTGGCCATCACAAAGCCCTGATCTCAATCCTATAGAAAATGTGTGGACAGAGCTGAAAAAGCTTGTGCGAGCAAGACAGCCTACAAATCTGACTCAGTTACACCAATTCTGTCAGGAGGAATGGGTCAAAATTCCTTCAAACTATTGTGAGAAGCTTGAGGAAGAATACCCAAAACATTTGACCAAAGTTATACAGTTTAAAAGCTAAAAAAAATACCAAGGAAATGTATGTTAAATTTTTTTAACAAAAAAAAACTCAAAAAAAATAATTTTCTCATTATTCTGGCATTAAATCATTTAGGTAATCCTAAAAGACCTAAAATAGTAAACATTTAGTATGATTTACCATCAGACATTTAAAAAAAAAAAAGAGGTTATTTTCCTATTTTTAGAGTGCATGTAAACTTCTGGTTTCAACTATATATATATATATATATATATATGTATATATGTATATATGTATGTTTGTATGTATGTATGTTGATGTTAAGGCTACCTGTAGCGTGATGTTGTTGTGTGTAGATTGTGTAGCATCTCTCAGCAGCAGCAGATATGAGTCTCTGTCGATGAAGTTGACACTCAGCAGTTTCTCACAGCGCAGGCCGTTGAAGCCCGGCAGACACTGACAGACTGCAGTGCCAGAAATCTCCTCACAGGGGGCGCCGTTCACACACTGCAGCAGATCACAGGCCGACACAGACGCTTCACACAGGCGACCACTGCAGATCAACACATGCACATGTCATCGTCATATACACACATAGAAACACACACACACACACACACACACACACACACACACACACACACAGACACACATCCTCATTATACAGATCATCATCATATACAAAGAGAGAGAGAGAGAAACATACACACATATCATCTTTTCACACACGCACACAGAGAGATGCACACACATACATACACACAGAGACTCACATGCTCACACACATAAATCATACGCACACACACACACTTAAACATAAAGTACACACACACTCAGAGAAAGTAACGCACACACAAACACACATCAGACAGAAAAACACTCACACAGAGAAACACACACAAAAACACACACATAAACACGCACATATCCTACACTCACACAAAGTAACAAACAAACAAACACACACACACACAGTCAGAGACGCATATAAAACACTCACACAAAGGGGTAAAAAACACATACAGAAACACACACATACACACACACAAACATGCTCACACACATCATACATTCACACAAAGTAACACACGCATACACCACACAATGAAACACACACACACACACACAAACAAACACAAATGAACACTCACACAAAGTGACACGCATACACACAATGTCGACACAAAGTAACACACAGAAAGAAACACACACTGACACACACAGTAACACACACACAAACTGAAAAAAAACTCACAAACACCGCACACAGAGAAACAAACACACACACACACAAACACACACACATACACACACAGTAAACAGAATCCTAAAGCAATATCTTCAATAGTCAGTCTGGTCGACTTACCTGCTCCTCTGTTAACCTCCTAATCTGAGTCTATATTTCATCACGAGTGTATTTAAAGCCTAATAAAGTCTGTAGGAGTGTCTCATATTAAATAGATTGTGTTTGCGTGCAGCTGATAATGATGTTGATGATCAGTGTGTGACTGACCTGTAGCCTGCTGGACACACACATGTGTATCCAGCCACATGATCCACACAGCGGGCCCCATTCTGGCAGTAATGGCCCTCACACTCGTTATAGTCCACACTGCAGTCGTCACCCACGAAACCAGGCGGACAGATGCACCTGAACACACCATGCACATACACACACATCTGGTTTAGAATCCTCATGGGGACTGTTCATATAGATAATGACGAGATACTGCAACAACTGTACATTCTGTGCCCTTACACTAAAGATCCTTACACACAAAGTCTGAACTTCTGTAAAGTGTTTTATTATATTTGTTTTATTATTAATATTCATTATTTTGCACACTGCCTCTGTGTCATAAGACAAAATACAGATCTGGTTCGATTTTCTGCATTATTCTTCTGCATCCATATCAAGCATTTTAGAAGATGTTTGATCAAATTTAGAGGCACAATATAAGCAAACAACAATCAGAAGTGTGTTTATGTCATTTTTGGTAACAGTAAGGCTAGCCTAAATAGCTGATAGTCCCTCCATAAAGAACTGGTAGTCCCGACCTAAAAAACTGGTAGTCCCAACCTAAAGAACTGGTAGTCCTGACCTAAAGAGCTGACAGTCCTCGCCTAAAGAACTGACAGTCCCTCCCTAAAAAACAGATAGTCTCAACCTAAAGAATTGGTAGTCCCGAACTAGAAAACTGGTAGTCCTGACATAAAGAAGTGATAATCTTGACCTAAAAAACTGGCAGTCTCGACCTAAAGAACTGACAGTCCTTATCTAAAGAACCGGTAGTCCTGGCATAAAGAACTGATAGTCCCCCCCTAATAAACTGACAGTCCCGACCTAAAGAACTGATAGTCTTGACCTAAAGAACAGGTAGTCTTAACCTAAAGAAACTGACAGTCCCAACCTAAAGAACTGGTAGTCTCAACCTAAAAAACTGGTAGTCTTGGCCTAAAGAACTGGTAGTCCTGACCTAAAGAACTGGTAGTCCTGGCCTAAAGAACAGAGATAGTCCCTCTGTAAAGAACTGGTAATCCTGGCCTAAAGCGCAGGTAGTCCTGATCTAAAGAACTGGTAGTCCCGGCCTAAAGAACTGGTAGAACTGATAGTCCCATCCTAAAGAACTGGTATTCCTGACCTAAAGAACTGGTGGTCCTGGCCAAAAGAACTGATAGTCCTGGCCTAAAGAACTAATAGTCTTGACCTAAGGAACTGGTAGTACTGGCGTAAAGAACGAATAGTCCCTCCCTAATGAACTCTTAGTCTCGACCTAAAGAACAGGTAGTCCCGCCAGAAGGAACTGGTAGTCTCAACCTAAAGAACTGATAGTCCTGACCTAAAGAACTGATAGTCCTGACCTATAAAACTGGTAGTCCCGACCTAAAGAACTGGTAGTTTCGTCCTAAGGAACTGGTAGTCCCGACCTAAAAAGCGGATAGTCCCTCAATAAAGAACTGGTAGTCTCAAGCTAAATAATTGGTAGTCCTGACCTAAAGAACTGATCGTCCTGACCTACAGAACTGGTAGTCCTGACCTAAAGAACTGGTAGTCCCGTCCTAAGGAACTGGTAGTCCCGACCTAAAGAACGGATAGTCCCTCCCTAAAGAACTGGTAGTCCTGCCCTAAAGAACTAATAGTCCTGACCTAATGCCGAGTTCAGACTGCATGATTTTAGCCCCGATTTTGACCAGTATCGCCGACAAACGCCTGAATCATAGGCAAATCAGTGCTCGTGCATGTGAGTGACAATCACACAGTATGAACTATCAAAGACGCAATATGAGAGAATCGCCGGTGAGTCGCCATTGCCGGTGAGATATTTGTGCTAAATATCTGGAGCTGTCAGCGATTCAAATCATGCCATGTGAAATGAGCTCTCCTTTTCGTTTTATTTGGACCCAAGAAATGAAGAAAAAACTAATGGAGGTTTGGCAGGAGCACCCGAGTCTGTTTGACGTTTCATACAGAAAAGTAAAAAAGAAAGTTGAGGAGAAATTGCTAATTCCCTTCAAACCCAGGTTAGCAAATATGTAAATTTTCTACCCAATTAAAAGATTCTTTCTCGTTATGTAGTTAATAACAAACATTTTTGAAAAAAGTTTTTTTTTTTTTTACATGTTTTTGGCTGTGAGAGGTAGTTTGGACGAAGTTGTCGCGATTCATCCTATTGTAAAGTCATGAAATGTGAAAGCCCCTGTCGCCGATCCATCTTGCAGTGTAAACAAAGCAGCGACACAACACTAGCCCAGATAGTCATGCAGTGTGAAAACATCTGTGACACGACTTTGAAATCATGCAGTCTGAACTTGGCAATAAGAACTGGTAGTCCTGGCCTAAAGAACACATAGTCATTCCTTAAAGAACTGATAGTCCTGCCCTAAAAAACAAATAGTCCCGACCTAAGGAACTAGTAGTCCTAGCCTAAAGAACGGATAGTCCCTCCCTAAAGAACAGGTAGTCCCGACCTAAAGAACTGGTAGCCCCGACCTAAAGAACTGACATTCCCAATCTAAAGAACTGATAGTCCCACCTAAAGAACTGACAGTCCCGACTTAAAGACGTAGTAGCCTCGACCTAAAGAACTGATAGTACCGACCTAAATGACTGATAGTTCCTCCCTAAAGAGCTGATAGCACCGACATAAAGAATTGAATGTCCCCAGACATAAAGAACTGATAGTCCCTCCCTAAAACGTTAATCACCCCTCTCTGAAGATATGATAGCCCTGCCCTAAAGGATTGATAGCCACGCCCTAAAGAGATGATAGCCCTGCCCTAAAGGACTGATAGCCACGCCCTAAAGAGATGATAGCCCTGACCTAAAGGACTGATAGCCACGCCCTAAAGAGATGATAGCCCTGCCCTAAAGGACTGATAGCCACGCCCTAAAGAGATGATAGCCCTGCCCTAAAGGACTGATAGCCACGCCCTAAAGAGATGATAGCCCTGCCCTAAAGGACTGATAGCCACGCCCTAAAGAGGTGATAGCCCTGACCTAAAGGACTGATAGCCCCGCCCTAAAGTACTGATAGCTCTGCCCCAAAGAGCTGATAGCCCCAACTAAATGGCATTCAGTGTGACTGTGGGTGTGGGAAGGTTATGGTTTTTGATTAAAAATTATGAGGGGTTTTACAAAATTATAAAGTGCACAGACACATCGCTTCATGCCAACTTTAAGATGAAAAATATCAGACAGACACACGCAGACAGACAGACACACAGACACACCGGTCACACGTGTCATTTGTTTCATTAAGTGAATGACCTTAAAATCAGCTTTTCAGTCTTCTGACAGCAGCAGCAGATAAACGTGTGTGAATAGAAAAAAACGTGTGTGTGTGTGTGTGTGTGTGTGTGTGTGTGTGTTTGTATGTGAGTGAGTGAATAGAAATGACATTCCTGTGCAGTAATTCAGCTCAATACATTCATCAGCTGAAAGAACAAGGCTTTTCACACACACACACACACACACACACACACACACACACACACACACACACACACACACACACACACACACACACACACACACACACACACACACACACACACACACACACACACACACACACACACACACACACACACACCTCTTCTTCCCTGTGAAGTGTTGATAAACACGGCTCTCCTGCCACTCAAAAGTTTGGGGTCACTCTGATTTTTAGGAAAGAAATGAGTATTTGTGTTGAGCGAGGTCACTGTTCATTGATCAGAAGTGACAGCGGAGACATCTGTGCGCAACATTTCTATTTACAGTGAACTTTTGATCCTTCTAACTTTCTATGAATTACGGGATCAGACATCTTTTAAACTATATTCAAATGGAAAGAAAAACAAATGTAGCCTTGGTGAGCATGAAAGAAGTAACTTTTAAAAATATGATATATGCATTTTGTCTTTATTACACATTTGAAGTTAACTTGAAGGCAAAATGGGCTTAAAGTGGCATTTAAAAATCCAAATATATAAAGAAATTATTTCTTATTTTTATTAATAAACAAATATATTCAATAAAACAAAATTTAAAAAACAATTAAATTAAATTAAACTAAATTTAAAAATTATTTTGATTCTGTGTAATATTAAAGGATAATATAAATAATAATATAAATTAAATATAAAAATAAAAACACACTTCAAAGTTAGTTTTGGGCACAACTGATGTGATAGCATGCAATAAATGTATAAAGAAAGTAAAATAAAATTAATAAAATAAAATAAAATTAAATTAAATTAAAATAAATTAAATTAAATTTAATTAAATTAAATTATTTCCATTCTGTGTAATAATAAAAGATAACTTAAATAATAATATAAATTAAATATAAAAATAAAAACACACTTCAAAGTCAGTTTTGGGCACAACTGATGGTAATAGCATGCAATAAATGTATAAAGAGAGTAAAATAAAATTTAAATTAAATAAAATTTAAATTAAATAAATAACATTTGATTAAAAGGATAAATTTGATCCTGTTTAATGTTACTTAAATAACAATATAAATTAAAAATAAAAATAAAAACACAATTAAAAAATTCAATTGTTCTGCGCTTACTATTAGCATTTAATATCATGTACTGTGTAATTACTATTTACTAAATGAACTAAAATAATTAAATTAATCAAACTGAATTGTATTCGCCAACAGCATATTAATAAACAAATAACGAACTTTTTTGATCCCATGTAAATATTGAATAAATGTGAATAAAACAATAATATAAATTAAATTAAATAAAAAAAAAAAATGCTTGAAAATTTTTTATTATACTGCACACATTAATAGCATTTCATATTTTTGTAATGTGTAATAACTAATAAATAATCAAATAAATAAAAATAAATATAAATAAATGAACGAGGGTGTCACGGTGGCACAGTAGGTAGCACAATCACCTCACTGCAAGAAGGTCGCTGGTGCCCCTGCTTGGATCAGTTGGCATTTCGGTGTGGAGTTTGCATGTTCTCCCTGTGTTGGCGTGGGTTTCCTCCGGGTGCTTCGGTTTCCCCCACAGTCCAATCACATGCACTATAGGTGAATTGATTAACTATATTGGCTGTAGTGTGTGTGTGTGTGTGTGTGTGTGTGTGTGTGTGTAAATGAGTGTTTCCCAGTGCAGGTTTGCAGCTGGAAGGGCATCCGCTGTGTAAAACATATGCTGGAATAGTTGGCGGTTCATTCCGCTGTGGTGACCACCGATAAATAAGGGATTAAGCCGAAGAGAAAATGAATGAATGAATATGACTGTAAGCTGAATGAGAGCAGTGTGTTTACTTGGGTCCGCTGACGGTGGGTATACAGGTGGAGCCCCGCTGACAGGGATTCTGTCCAGGATAGCAGAGATCTTCCTCATACTCTTCACACTTCTGTCCTGTAACACACACCAATCATATTACACACAGACACACAAACACACACAACAGCCACTAATGTTACAGATAAACAGCAGTGTAATCGTGTGTGTGTGTGTGTGTGTACCGGAGAAGGGCTGCGCACACACACAGCTGTAGTTTCCCACTCCGTCCACACAGATGGTGCCGTTTACACACTGGTGGTCCACACAGTCGTCCACGTCCAGCTCACAGAAGAGACCCTCGAAACCCAGAGGACACACACACCTGCAGACACACACATTCACAAACACACACATGCATGAACACACAGAAAGAAAAAAAACATACACAACAAACAGACATACACACACACAGCATGAAAGTTACACACTAGACATGTGTGATTGTGTGTTGTGTTTTGTGTGTGTGTGTGCGCTCTAGTTTGTGTATGTGTGTGTTTGTTTTTGTGTGTGTGTGTAAGTGTTTGTGTGTGAGTTTGGTTTTGTGTGTGCACGTTTGTCTGTGTGTGTGTACATATGTGTTGGTGTATTTGTTTTTTGGTTTTTATGAATATTTGTCTTTGTGTGTGTGTGTGTGTGTGTGTGTGTGTGTGTGTGTGTGTGTGTGTGTGTGTGTGTGTGTGTGTGTGGTGTGTGTGTGTGTGTCTGTGTGAGTGTTTGTTTTTGCTTGTTTTTTGTGTAGACACATGTTTGTTTTTGTGTTTGCTTTTGTGTGCTTGAGTGTGTAAATGTTTGTTTGTCTGTGTGTGTGGGTATGTACATATGTGTTTGTGTATGTTGTTTGTGTGTGTGTGCGTGTGTGTCTTACCTGAATCCTCTTCTGGACTCTTCAGGTCTGCAGGTTCCTCCATTCACACATGGGTTTGCTTCACAGGCGCTGATGGAGAGCTCACAGTTCCTGCCCTGAACATCAACAACACACACACACACACACACACACACACACACACATGGCCCTCGCTGCATGTTACTCAGTGTGTTTAACAGTGTGAAACATCTCTAGCTTTTTAAAAATAATAAATTATAAATTATTATTCTAATAATAAATTCCAAATTTCCAAGTTTGTCATGGAATAAATCAAAGGAAATAAAGTGTACTTTGCTTTGGAGTGTGTTAGATATTCTCCAGTACTCTTCTCAAGTGCCCTCAGTAGTGAACACACCTTGTATCCCTGTGGACAGCTGCACTTGTACTGGTGAAGGGGGTCGTTGTGGCAGCGGCCCTGGTTCTGGCAGGGGTTTGACGAGCACGGGCTGCACTTCCCAGACACAGACGCATCCACTGGACCTGTGGGAGAACACACTGACTCTCTGACTTGATCTTATCATTGTGCTGTTTGACATCACTAGTGTTGGTTTGTCCGTCTCCTACAGGAGCTTTACATGCATGCAGGGTCAAAAACTCATGAATTTCCTCCAGATCTCCACTGCAGCATTAGCTTCAGCCTCACTGTGCCTGATGCGGTTAGTTTGCTGATCTGCTCTCCCCCCCGCCTTTCAGTCTGATTGGTTAAACGACTCAACTTTGCTCTGATTGGTCGAACAACTCCACTCAGATTTGTGAATTGTCTCTACTGTGCTCTGATTGGTTAGTAAACTCTGCACTGCTCTGATTAGTCAAATGACTCAACTGTGCTCTGATTAGTTAAATGACTGCTGAGCTCTGATTGGTCAAATGACTCTACTGTGTTCTGATTAGTCGAATGACTCTACTGGGTGCCGATTAATCAAATGACTCTACTGTGCTCTGATTGGTCAGATGACTCTGCTGTGCTCTGATTGTTCAAATGATTCTGCTGAGCTCTGATTGGTCAATTAGCTACTGTGTTCAGATTGGTCAAATGAATGTCGTGCTCTGATTGGTCAAATAACTACTGTGCTCTGATTGGTCAAATGATTTTACTGTGTTCTGATTGATCAATTGACTTTACTGTGCTCTGACTGGTTAAATGACTGCTGTGCTCTGATTGGTCAAATTACTCTGCTGTGCTCCAAATAGTCAAATAACTCTACTGTGCTCTGATTGGTCTAATGCAATGACTGTAAAAAATATGGACGACGCGACAGCCCTTTTTCCCATTGAACGCCTTGAGGGCAAAACGCCTGCTTGACGGGCACAAACTGTCGCAAAAGACTGCTGAAATTGGAGCCTTGACATGCGCAGAAGGTTTGTCTGATGGAGCCAGAGGAGGAGCCGCGAAAATGAGCAGAGTCGAGCTTCCAACCAAACGCTTTATGTAAAATCAACTACGCCCCCCGAACTTCTCAGCATGCGTTTGCTGTCATATCAACACAAATGGATGTAATAACGTTAACAAATATGAGGGTTTTATATATTCAATCGCGCCAGCTCCAGGCCGCATCGCATAACTTAGTCGCGGCGTCGCGGGCTGATTCCGGCTCGCATGCGGCAGCGCCTGCTCGCTCGGCCGCCGCATCTGGCTCGATTGACTCGGGCTGGAATTGGGTAGTGAGTCCAGGCATCCGGAGTAGGTCCAGCAGAGGTAACATTAGTCAGTCTGAGCTCTAAGAGATAAGTCTCCGGCAGGCGAGAATCTAGCCGGAACTGTGTTTTGCTATCTGGGTGGCTAGGCGTGTATCAGCAAACTAATAAAGCCCGAAAAAAGCCCTGAACTTAGCGAATAAACAGAGTTCCACCAGGATCATGTATGTCAGAAACTATAGTTTACTGCTGAACTCATTTTGTCATAGTAAAATAACACAGAAATCGAATAATAACACTTCAGTCTACTTCAGTCTCCTGCCGAAGCTCAGACGCCGCGCTTTGAGAAACTGTCAATCACCGCTGTCAATCACGATGACACGCCCAGCATTAAATTACTGCTAAAAACAAACTGTTTACAAAAATGAAGATCTGCACCTATTTCAGCACAATAACCAGTGCCTTAATCGACTAGAACTATCTTTCGGGACATTTTATTGCAAGTGTAATATTTTTTTTTATTTGGGCTCAAGTCTCCTTCATTAACACGGAGGAGGCGGGCTTTATGACTTGTACTGCAGCCAGCCCCCAGGGGGCGATCTAACGGCCGAAACCTTCACTCAAACGTAGGCTTGCGGCACACTTGGTCTAATGACTCTGCTATGCTCTGATTGGTCAAATAATTCTGTTGTGCTCCGATTGGTCAATTGACTACTGTGCTCTGATTAGTCAAATGACTCCACTGTGCTCTGATTGGTCAATTGACTACTGTGCTCTGATTAGTCAAATGACTCTACTGTGCTCTGATTGGTTAAATGACTCTACTGTGCTCTGATTGGTTAAATGGCTCTACTGTGTTATGATTGGTCAAATTACTCTCCTCTGATGTGACTGGTTAAATAACCCAGTCCGCTGTAATTGGTTGAATGGCCCAGATGTTCTCTGATTGGTCAATTGTTTCTACTGTCTCTGATTGGTCAGTTGACTCTGCTGTCTCTAATTGGTTAGAGGGCTCTACGCTCCACTGATTAATAACATCCCAGGCAGCAAGGAATTCTGGCCCAGATTTGGCATAAATCTGGCACAGCAGGCATTCATCTGTCACTGGCATACAGCATGTGGGCCAAACATGGGCCTGATTTGGCAGAGGTGGCACTGTCTTTAAGGCGGCACATAATACTTGGGCCAGATGTAAAATGAAGCATTTGTCCCAGATGTTAATAATTGATATGTGGGCCATGTAAGTTTGGCCTGCCTTGACCCGCATTTAAAATACATTTTTATTATTTTCAAAAAAAAAAAAAAATTCTACCAATCAGGTCACTTCAAGAAAAAGCATGCCCACAGCACGCCTAAAGCTCAATAATTCATGGGTTTATCAAATTCATTGCAGTCGTGACACACCAACAAATCTGGCCCAGTTCAGGCCCAGTTAACTTGGCTAAGACTTGGCCCAGATTTGGTCCATGTTTGGCCCTTGTCTGGAAGCCAGACTTGGTCCAGACATGTACCATAATTCACTGCGGCAAATGGGCCAAGCAGAAGCTGATTGTGTGGGCCAGAGCTGGGCCAGAGATATTTTGCTACACACACACACACACACACACACACACACACACACACACACACATACACACACACACACACCTGTGCATTGAAAGGTGTTTCCAGGTGTTGTCAGCAGTAGTTTTCCCTCCATACCCTGCGGTCCAGCACAGCGGGCGATGCCGGGCTCCTTGTACCCGCTCTTCACCCAGTCCGAGAGCCAGCGCAGCCGGCAGTCACAGTACAGCGGGTTTGCACCGATGGCCCTTCATCAACATACAGAAACACACAGAAAACGCATACAGATCAAGAAAGCATATGAGGCAGTGGATAAATACATGCATATTCTAATCTGATATGGAAATATCAACATATATGACAAATATAAAATCAAAATACACGACATTTCTTATATTTCTGTCCATTTATTCACACTTTTATGTTTCTTTTAATTCACTGTGATCCATTTTTGCATCATTGTGTCTCTTTTACGTTGTTGCTCTAATTGGTCAGATGACTCCACTCTGCTATGTTCTGATTGGTCAAATGATTACACTATGCTCTGATTGATAAAATTATGCTACTCTGCTCTAATTTGGTCAAATGATTCTATTGTGTTGTGATTGGTCAAATAACTTGACTCTGCTCTGATTGGTCAAATTACTTTACTGTGCTGATTAGTCAGATGACTCTACTGTGTTCTAATTGGTCAAATTACTTTACTGTGCTCTGATTAGTCAGATGACTCTAGTGTGCTTTGATTGGTCTAATAACTTTACTGTGCTCTGATTTGTCAGATGACTTCACCGTGCTCTGCTTGATCAAATGACTGTACTGTGCTCTGATTAGTCAGATAACTACTGTTCTCTAATTAGTCAGATGAAAACTGTGCTCTGGTTGGTCAAATGACTTTACTGTGCTCTGATTAGTTAGATGACTCTACTGTGCTCTTATTGGTCAAATGACTCTACTGTGCTCTGATTGGTCAAATTACTCTACTGTGCTCTGATTAGTCAGATGACTCTACTGTGCTCTGATTGGTCAAATTACTCTACTGTGCTCTGATTAGTCAGATGACTCTACTGTGCTCTGATTGGTCAAATTACTCTACTGTGCTCTGATTGGTCAAATGACTCTATTGTGCTCTGATTGGTCAAATTACTCTACTGTGCTCTGATTGGTCAGATGACTCTACTGTGCTCTGATTGGTCAAATGACTTTACTGTGCTCTGATTGGTCAAATTACTCTACTGTGCTCTGATTAGTCAGATGACTCTACTGTGATCTGATTGGTCAAATGACTCTACTGTGCTCTGATTGGTCAAATTACTCTACTGTGCTCTGATTAGTCAGATGACTCTACTGTGATCTGATTGGTCAAATGACTCTACTGTGCTCTGATTGGTCAAATTACTCTACTGTGCTCCGATTAGTCAGATGACTCTACTGTGATCTGATTGGTCAAATGACTCTACTGTGCTCTGATTGGTCAAATTACTCTACTGTGCTCTGATTAGTCAGATGACTCTACTGTGATCTGATTGGTCAAATGACTCTACTGTGCTATGATTGGTTAGATGACTACTGTCCTATGATTGGTCAAATGACTTTACTGTGCTCTGAGCAGTTTGTGATGTATTTTGGAAACAGGAGATGAGCCCCTGGTCTAATGCGCCACCTGGTTTGAGAAACCCGTTCTCAAAGACTTGGGCAGCACACATATTCTAAATGCCTTCAGCAGAATTCAAATAAGCCATTTTAATCTAGATTCATTCCAAGATTACAGTGAGATTAATTTGGATTAAAAAAAAATATCTATGCCCACTTTTAATATATATATATATATATATATATAATGTGAATACAAACTGTGATTTTGCTTGTGATTAATCGTGATCCATTTTTTGACAGCACAGATATTTTTCTTGCTTTAATAAAAGTGGTCAGGTGTGTTCATTAGCGGCCAAAACAAATCTCCCCACACTTCAAAAAGCCGAATACTAATACTTCTAAAAATGACTTGACTTCCTGAACTGCAGCTATAAGCGCTGTGTGTCTGACAGAAGTGTGATTTCTGCGTGTGAGTGTGTGAGAATATAAGAGCACAGGTGAGACTCACAGGTGTGAAAGTGACGCGGCGTCTCTGAAGATCTGCTGGTGTAGCTCAGAGATGTTGTTCCCGTGTAGAGATCTGCAGGACACGGAGAAAGAGTGAGCTGAAGAGCGGAGATGACGAGCAGAGAAACACACACAAACACACTCATGAAGATCTGAAAACAGCAGGACTCACAGCAGGCGGAGAGACGAGAGACCACCAAACACCAGAGGAGGAATACAGCGCAGAGCGTTATAGCTCAGGATTCTGGAACACACAAACATTAGCAGAAACACACCTCAAATGACAATGCATGTGTGTGTGTGTGTGTGTGTGTGTGTGTGTGTGTGTGTGTGTGTGTGTGTGTGTGTGTGTGTGTGTGTGTGTGTGTGTGTGTGTGTGTGTGTGTGTGTGTGTTTGTGTGAGGGTGAGTGGGTGGGTGGGTGTATGTGTGGGTCGGTGGGTGTGTGTGTGTGTGTGTGTGGGTGTCTGTGTGTGTGGGTGGGTGTGTATGTTATATTATAGCTTAAGATTCTCTAACACAACACACACACACACAAATAAACAAACACACAACACCGATTAATGTGTGTGTGAGTATATCAGTGCATATATGCTTTTGTGAGCATGTGTGAGTGTGTTGATGTGTTTGTGTGTGAATGTAAATGTGTACATGTGTGTGTATGCATGTGTTTATGTATAAATGTGTGTTGTGCAAACATGCTTTGCTTGTTGTGAGTGTGTTTGCATGTGTGTCTGTGTGCATGTGTGTGTGCGTGCACCCATATATGTGTATTGTGCTAGTAAATGTGTGTTTGTGTATAAATGTGTTGTGCTTGTGTATGTGTGTTTGTGTATAAATGTGTTGTGCTTGTTTTTGTGTGCTTGTGTATGTGTGTTTGTGTATAAATGTGTTGTGCTTGTTTTTGTGTGCTTGTGTATGTGTGTTTGTGTATAAATGTGTTGTGCTTGTGTATGTGTGTTTGTGTATAAATGTGATGTGCTTGTTTTTGTGTGCTTGTGTATGTGTGTTTGTGTATAAATGTGTTGTGCTTGTTTTTGTGCGCTTGTGTATGTGTGTTTGTGTATAAATGTGTTGTGCTTGTGTATGTTTGTTTGTGTATAAATGTGTTGTGCTTGTTTTTGTGCGCTTGTGTATGTGTGTTTGTGTATAAATGTGTTGTGCTTGTTTTGTGTGCTTGTGTATGTGTGTTTGTGTATAAATGTGTTGTGCTTGTTTTTGTGCGCTTGTGTATGTGTGTTTGTGTATAAATGTGTTGTGCTTGTGTATGTGTGTTTGTGTATAAATGTGTTGTGCTTGTGTATGTGTGTTTGTGTATAAATGTATTGTGCTTGTTTTTGTGTGCTTGTGTATGTGTGTTTGTGTATAAATGTGTTGTGCTTGTTTTTGTGTGCTTGTGTATGTGTGTTTGTGTATAAATGTGTTGTGCTTGTTTTTGTGCGCTTGTGTATGTGTGTTTGTGTATAAATGTGTTGTGCTTGTTTTTGTGTGCTTGTGTATGTGTGTTTGTGTATGTGTGTTGTACTTGTTTTTGTGTGCTTGTGTATGTGTGTTTGTGTATGTGTGTTGTACTTGTTTTTGTGTGCTTGTGTATGTGTGTTTGTGTATAAATGTGTTGTGCTTGTGTATGTGTGTTTGTGTATAAATGTGTTGTGCTTGTTTTGTGTGCTTGTGTATGTGTGTTTGTGTATAAATGTGTTGTGCTTGTTTTGTGTGCTTGTGTATGTGTGTTTGTGTATAAATGTGTTGTGCTTGTTTTTGTGCGCTTGTGTATGTGTGTTTGTGTATAAATGTGTTGTGCTTGTTTTTGTGTGCTTGTGTATGTGTGTTTGTGTATAAATGTGCTGTGCTTGTTTTTGTGTGCTTGTGTATGTGTGTTTGTGTATAAATGTGTTGTGCTTGTTTTTGTGCGCTTGTGTATGTGTGTTTGTGTATAAATGTGTTGTGCTTGTTTTTGTGCGCTTGTGTATGTGTGTTTGTGTATAAATGTGTTGTGCTTGTTTTTGTGCGCTTGTGTATGTGTGTTTGTGTATAAATGTGTTGTGCTTGTTTTTGTGTGCTTGTGTGTGTGTGTTTGTGTATAAATGTGTTGTGCTTGTTTTTGTGTGCTTGTGTATGTGTGTTTGTGTATAAATGTGTTGTGCTTGTGTATGTGTGTTTGTGTATAAATGTGTTGTGCTTGTTTTGTGTGCTTGTGTATGTGTGTTTGTGTATAAATGTGTTGTGCTTGTTTTTGTGCGCTTGTGTATGTGTGTTTGTGTATAAATGTGTTGTGCTTGTTTTTGTGTGCTTGTGTATGTGTGTTTGTGTATAAATGTGTTGTGCTTGTTTTTGTGTGCTTGTGTATGTGTGTTTGTGTATAAATGTGTTGTGCTTGTTTTGTGTGCTTGTGTATGTGTGTTTGTGTATAAATGTGTTGTGCTTGTTTTGTGTGCTTGTGTATGTGTGTTTGTGTATAAATGTGTTGTGCTTGTGTTTGTGCGCTTGTGTATGTGTGTTTGTGTATAAATGTGTTGTGCTTGTTTTTGTGTGCTTGTGTATGTGTGTTTGTGTATAAATGTGTTGTGCTTGTTTTTGTGTGCTTGTGTATGTGTGTTTGTGTATAAATGTGTTGTGCTTGTGTATGTGTGTTTGTGTATAAATGTGTTGTGCTTGTTTTGTGTGCTTGTGTATTTGTGTTTGTGTATAAATGTGTTGTGCTTGTTTTTGTGTGCTTGTGTATGTGTGTTTGTGTATAAATGTGTTGTGCTTGTTTTGTGTGCTTGTGTATGTGTGTTTGTGTATAAATGTGTTGTGCTTGTTTTTGTGCGCTTGTGTATGTGTGTTTGTGTATAAATGTGTTGTGCTTGTTTTTGTGCGCTTGTGTATGTGTGTTTGTGTATAAATGTGTTGTGCTTGTTTTTGTGTGCTTGTGTATGTGTGTTTGTGTATAAATGTGTTGTGCTTGTGTATGTGTGTTTGTGTATAAATGTGTTGTGCTTGTTTTTGTGTGCTTGTGTATGTGTGTTTGTGTATAAATGTGTTGTGCTTGTTTTTGTGTGCTTGTGTATGTGTGTTTGTGTATAGATGTGTTGTGCTTGTTTTTGTGCGCTTGTGTATGTGTGTTTGTGTATAAATGTGTTGTGCTTGTTTTGTGTGCTTGTGTATGTGTGTGCTTGTTTTTGTGCGCTTGTGTATGTGTGTTTGTGTATAAATGTGTTGTGCTTGTTTTGTGTGCTTGTGTATGTGTGTTTGTGTATAAATGTGTTGTGCTTGTGTATGTGTGTTTGTGTATAAATGTGTTGTGCTTGTTTTGTGTGCTTGTGTATGTGTGTTTGTGTATAAATGTGTTGTGCTTGTTTTTGTGTGCCTGTGTATGTGTGTTTGTGTATAAATGTGTTGTGCTTGTTTTTGTGTGCTTGTGTATGTGTGTTTGTGTATAAATGTGTTGTGCTTGTTTTTGTGTGCTTGTGTATGTGTGTTTGTGTATAGATGTGTTGTGCTTGTTTTTGTGCGCTTGTGTATGTGTGTTTGTGTATAAATGTGTTGTGCTTGTGTATGTGTGTTTGTGTATAAATGTGTTGTGCTTGTTTTGTGTGCTTGTGTATGTGTGTTTGTGTATAAATGTGTTGTGCTTGTTTTTGTGTGCCTGTGTATGTGTGTTTGTGTATAAATGTGTTGTGCTTGTTTTTGTGTGCTTGTGTATGTGTGTTTGTGTATAAATGTGTTGTGCTTGTTTTTGTGTGCTTGTGTATGTGTGTTTGTGTATAGATGTGTTGTGCTTGTTTTTGTGCGCTTGTGTATGTGTGTTTGTGTATAAATGTGTTGTGCTTGT